AAAGTCATCAACAATGTTCTCTTGAGCAGCAGTGGCAGCGACAAACAATTATGGCTTTGCAAAAGTGCAAAAAAAACGAATGGTCCTCTTTTAGAACTTGACCATAGCAAGGCATATTGAGGATTTCTTTGAAATGAAAGAAATCTGTAGATTATTTATATTTCCACCTGCTTTGCATGGAAGGAAGTTAAGTGCCAGGCGTCTTAGATCGGACTGCAGTGTCAACGAGTTGGTTGTTAATGAAAATATTGTTCGGGCTACTGGAAATTATCTAAGGGGTTAAAAAGAGATAAAAAGTAAAGGGTATACATTTATAGAAATTTTTTTGGAAAGGTCTTTCCTGTCATATGCCTTTCAAAAGGTATTCAATAGACCTAAATAACACTGAGGGACAACATTTATTTTTTTGTAACATTACATCAAACGCACAAGATATTATGAAAATAGAGCTAAAAATATAAGACACAAGGGAGAATTTATCAAAAAAAGGGCGAGAAAGTTCAGCTTTTTTATACCCTCCACCATAGTAGGGAGAGTGTATTAGATTGGTCATTCCGTTTGTAACACCTCGAAATATACATTTTAGAACCCACAAAGTATATATATTCTTGATCAGCATAAAATTCCATGTCGGTTTAACGATGACCATCCGTTTATCTGTCTGTCTGTCCGTCACTCCGTATGTGGAAATCGCACTAGTTTCCGAAAGAATTAAAGAAGGTTGATAACATTTTACTCAAATGTGTGTTTCGTCTGTAGGACTTCTGGTATTAAAAATGGGTTATATAGACCCACGTTTAGATATAGCCCCCATATGATTTTAGTGACATTATTTACCGGAATTGTTTCAAATTTCCTAAAGGGTACTACAGCCTGTGAAAATGTAACTTTACATATGATTCTAACATTTTGTGTATCCTAGCCTTAAGATAGATTCGAATCTATGTAGCAAATACTCCCCAAACAAAAGCCCTGGGTTTCAAAGACCTTCTGACCCAAAATTATGTATTTTTTTATGGATGTTGCGACCAAAAATTATGGTCAGGATCCTCTGGATATTTATGGAAATATTGTGCGGAATTTTAAGGACCATTTTCGACCAGGACATTCTGACCAGAATAGTCGATTTATGGGTGTTGCGATCAAAAATTATGGTCAGGATCCTCTGGATATTTATGGAAATATTGTGTGGATATTTAAGGACCTTTTTCGGTTAGGACATCTAGACAAGAATAGTCGATTTAAGGGTGTAGCGATCAAAAATATGGTCAGGATCTTCTTGATATTTATGAAAATATTGTGTTGATTTTTAAGGACCTTTTCTTCGAAAAGGACATCCTGACCAGAATATTCAATTTATGGATGTTGCGACCAAAAATTATGGTCAGGATCCTCTGGATATTTATGGAAATATTGTGTGGATTTTTAAGGACCTTTTTCGGTTAGGACATCCAGACCAGAATAGTCGATTTATGGGTGTTGCGACCAAAAATTATGGTGAGGATCCTCCGGATATTTATGAAAATATTGCGTTGATTTTTAAGGACCTTTTCTTCGAAAAGGACATCCTGACCAGAATAGTCGATTTTTAAAAACAAAACCTTCTGACTAAATATTGAAGATATCTAAAGTGATTTTCTTCAGGTCGTTCCCACCAAGGTTTTAATTACATTTTTGCCATGAAATTCAGACCAAAAATCGTGGTTTTTGAAGAATATTTTCCAGCGTCTTCTGGCCCAAAAATAATGATTTTTTAAGAATTTTTTTTTAAGATCAGAAAAAACTTTCCAGACTCCCTGGGTATATCTGAAAAAAAAAATATTTTTAAGCGCCTTCTGGCTCAAGATTTTTTTAAGAATTTTTTTTTTAAGATTTAAAAAAAAAAAACTCCGGTCTCCCTGGGTATATCTGAAAAAAAATGGTCGGAAAAAACATTGTCTATTCAGGTCGAAAACAGAAAATTGTCTATTTAGGTCGAGGTCTTCGTTAAGCACCTAAATATCGGTACATTCCTATATTCTGTATTTTGATGATTTCAGCGATGTTATCCTCCCGAATTTTTTCAAAATTCGTATTTGACTTCGTAATGGGTACTACAGCCATTGAAAGCAAATTGCCTAACTCCCTATATTCGGTATTTTTATACCCTCCACCATACTATGGAGGGTATATTAATTTTGTCATTCCGTTTGTAACTCCTCGAAATACTCATGTCAGACTCAGCAAAGTAGATATATTCTTGATCCGCGTAAAATTCTAAGACGATTTAGCGTCTGTCTGTGTGTCTCTCAGCCTGTCTGTCTGTTATAATCACGCTACCTTTCGAAAGATTTGAGATAGAAGGCTAGGCAGGTTAAGTTCGTAAATGGCCCATATAGATCCACATTTTCATATAGCCCCCCATATAACGGTATATTTTTTTACTGGAATTATTTCAAATTTCGTATTTAATGTTCGTACATTAAATACGAAACAAAAAATGACGCACGCTGGTCCACCTCTTCGTACAGGCCCCATTTATCAATAGCTTCCATTATTTGATATTTTAATGATTTTACCGAAATTATTAAGCGGATTTTTTTTTCAAATTTGGTATTTAAAGTTCGCTTTTGACAAAAAATTGCGTTTGCAGGTCCATGTCTTGGTATAGCCCCCCATACAATGGTATTTGGTTGATTTTGCCGAAATTATTAACCGGAATTGTTTCACATTTCGTAGTTGAAATTCTTAATGGGTACTACAAAGTATAACAAACCAGGAAAAAAAGACTTTAAGTCGGGCGGGCCCGACTTTATGATACCCTACACCACTTTGCTAATTTAGCAGAGCTCCGCATAACAATTAAAAGTTTTTATGGGAGGATTGAATTCTCCTATGATTATAATTATAATTTAAGGTTCAAAGGACTAAATATGCCGAAACATTTGTATCTTTTAAATTCGGACTTGTGTGGCCCATTTGATATATATGGGAGCTATATCCAAATCTGAACCGATCCTGATAAAATTTGGCAAAGATATTTCTGAGCTGTATTTCATATATTTCCCTGAATATTGTTGTTACTGAGAGCATATTATGGCTGCGGAGCACAAAAATAACAAATCGGATGAACAATATATATGGGAGCTATGGCTATATCTGAACCGATTTCCATCAAATTCGGCATACTTATTTTCAGGCTTATATAACACGTTTGGTGCACAATAAAATGCAAATCGGACGAAGATATATATGGGAGCTATATCTAAACTTTGACCGATTATCTCCAATTTCAATAGGGTTTGACCTTGGGCCAAACAAATGATTTCATCTGGATCGGCTAATAAATGCGAACTGTACTTTGTTTACAAAAATACATGGACAGACGGGCGGACGGACATGCATAAATCGACTCAGAATGTGATTCTATGCAGATCATCAAAAGGAACTATGGGTCTATCTCGTTTCCTTTTGCACAAAGACGTAATAACCTGACCACCTTGTGGTGTAGGGTATAAAAAGGGTCTGTTTAGGTCCACGTCATCGTATAGCCCACATATAACGTTACCTCCCAATATACGGCATTTTAATTATTTTAGACCCCTTTTTTACCAGAATTGTTTCAAATTTTGCATTCGACCTACTACAACCTACAGGGTGAGATAAAAAACCGGCAACAAAATCAAGCGCCATAATTTTTAATTTATATTTTTTATTTTAATTGAATGAAATCAAAAAATGTCGGAAATAGCATCAAATTTTAGAATAAGTTTAGATTTGTTCGAATTGGTCATCTATGGCACGAATTATGGCCTTCAAACGGCCAATGAAATCGTCACACGCTGCTCGAATGTTGCTCTGCGGTATTTTGGCCCATTCCCGGCGAAGCGCTTGCTTGAGGTGATCGACACTTTGGTGTTTTTTTTATTGGCAACCTTGCTTTCCAAAATACTCCAGACACAATAGTCCAACGGATTGGTATCCGGATATTTTGGTGGCCATTGTGCGCTGGAAATTAAGTGAGGAACCTCATTAACCATTCTTGGGTGGCGCGTGCTGAGTGCGATGGTGCTGAGTCCTGTTGGAATTTCCAAGGTCTGCGGCCAAAATGTTTGCGTGCCCAAGACTATATTCGCGATAATATTCGACTTTTATTCTGATGCCACGGTCGATTAATACGAGTGGAGAGCGACTATCGACTGTTATGGCGGCCCACACCATCACCATGGCCGGCGCTTGAGTTCTGGTGGTCACGGACCGAAGGTGCAGATTTTCAGCTGACCTCTTTGGCAAGTAAACACGATCATTTTGTTTGTTTACAAACAGCTGGACAAAGAATGTTTTCTCATCGGAGAAAACCAAATTCGGCAGTTCACCACTTTCGACCAAGCGAAGTAACTCTTTAGCTCTTTTGAGTCTATTTTTTTTCTGTTGCGGTGTAAGCTCTTGCACTTTTTCTAATTTCAATGGCTTTACCCCGAGCTAAGTTTTCAATATTTGCCGAATGGAATATTGCGATATGTTCAGCTCACAAGCCATTTTTCGGCCACTGCCACTCGGATTTCGATCAAGTCGTTTCTTTACTTTTCGAAACATTTCTGCTGATGTTGCTGTTTTCCTGCGTCCACTTCCTTGACGTCGGGCTACCAGGCTACCGGTAACACGGTAACGAGCGATGGTACGAGACACAAAAGATTTATACACATTTAAATGCTGGAGTGCCCTACCTATGGCCACTTGTGGTTTTCCAGCCAAAAATAAAGAAATTATACTATCACGCTTGAATTCCTCCATCACGAATATCTTTTTTTCTGGAAAATTCTCACCAAAATGCGTTTGTACGCTTGTAAACAATATAATGAGCTGCCATTGGAATAATTTTAACAGCTGTCGGACGGGTGGCTTTAAAATGACAGCAGTCTGAAATTGGTTGCATTTTTTTCATCTCACCCTGTATACCTTATTTACAATAGTGGAAAACAAGTTACTAATTATTTCATTGAATTTTTCTTCTTTTCCAGAAATCCGTAGCGTATCCGGTGAGCCCAACTATAAATCCGTCAATCTGACCTGGGAAGTGGAGTTTGTGCCCTCGCCGAATGACATTGTCACGAACAGCAGTAATGAGATCGAACCACCAATGGCATTTCAATTGTTCTTCTGTGAATTGCAGTCATTTGGACCACATCGATGCCGCTCAAAAGTGGTGAATGCCACCAAGTCGGCCTATGACAATAATGAGGACAATGATTTGGAGGTGGTGGACAAAATGTAGGATCTCCAGAAGAAAATTGTCCAAATTTCTTTTTCATTCCAAAATTTTGTTATTTTTCTTCCTTAGACGCCAAATCCGCCAATATGTGGCCCAGGTGGATAATCTGCGCATGGCCACCAAATATAGTTTCCATATACGTTCCGTACCCAAGCATAGGCAGCTGAAAAAGGTCACTGGGCGTTCGGAGATTTTCGACAATGAAATTGAGGGTAGTGACTTTTTGAGCTCAGCGAATTTGGGTGGACCCACTATTGTGATACCCACAAAAGGATGTAAGTTCCGTCGGGGGGAGAGGGAAGATATGGGGGTAGAATTTTCTAATTTTTTTCTTTATAAAATTGTGTAGTTTCGGCCCAGGCCACTAGGTGCTTGCCAAATGCCTCCGAAATTGAGGTTGAAACGGGTCCCAACTTTGGTGGCAAAATTGTGGTGGATGGTGGCAACTGTGGCGTCAAGGGTAACCCAAATGATGTCAAGGATAAATATGTCATGCGCATCGATCACAAGGCCTGTGGCAGCATGGTCAAGCCGGAAACAAATACCGTGGAAACGTTCATAACTGTCCAGGAGAATTTGGGAATTTTTACACACAGCACCAGGAGGTAATAATAGAGGGGCACGAGGGGTGGGGTGGGGACCTTCCCAAATTCTAAATTCTTAACTCCAAACGAATTTCTTTTTGTCTTCTTCCAATTTCTCCAGATTCGTTGTGGTCTGCAGCTATCAATCCGGCATGCAAACAGTGCGTGCCAGTTTCTCAGTACCTGGCAGAGGTGGCGCCGTGGCCGCTGCCCATGAATCCATAGAGGAGGAGGAACGTATGGGTCGTGGCCTTAAACCTTTTCGCTTTGTCGACAAATCCGAATTAATTCTGAAAGAGAATGATGTGGATACAGAAGAAGCGGCAACACAGTCATCCGAAGAAACTGAGGCTTTGGTTCAAGAAATGGACAATCCCACAGTGGACAGTGGTTTGAATCAAACTGAGGTAACGGTGGCCACAACAAATCATGAAGCGGAGGTTGCCGGCAAAAATCATCATCAAGAAGATGAAGCAAACGAAGAAGAGGATGCCACAAATGCTGTGGCAATATTGGAAAATATCATACCTGGTGTTAATGAAGATCACATAAGAGGCAATGAGCCACAGCAGCAACAACAACAAGAAACATCAAGTGTACCGGCTGGGGAAGATGATGTGGAGATCAGTGATGGGGAGAAGTTATCGCAGGAAAGCGACGATGCCAACAAAGAAAATATTGAAAATGAACATTTTTCCGCAAAATTCGCTAAATTAATATTGGAGCGCAATGACCGTGACCATGAGCTGGCCGAGGGCAGAAGCTATGATGGAGCTGCGTCCAAGCTGAGTGATACGCCCACAGGAAGAGGTGAGCATTATTTTTTGGAATATTTATTAGAGCGACAAAAAAATAATTACGGGGGGGTGGGAAAGAAGACAGGTCAGCGTTTTGAAAATTTGCACCGAAAAGTAACTAAAATAGAGGGGCAAGTCCCCCCTCCCTCCTCCACACTTTTAAGATTAAGATTCCTCGGAATCTGTGCATTTTAGATTTAGATACAAATATGGGAATATTTTGATCGAAAACTTTAACCCTCCAACGACCCATAAAGAGACTTTTATGGTCCTTCTTTTAAAAAATTACAAAAAAAAACAGTAAAGAAAGTCTTAAAGTCGGGCGGGCCGAAATTTAAAGTTCAAAGGACTAAATATGCCGAAGCATTTGTATCTTTTAAATTCGGACTTGTATTGCCCATTTGGTGCAGAATTAATTTGAAATCGGATAAAAATATATATGGGAACTATATCCAAATCTGAACCGATCTCGTTAAAATGTATCAAAGATATTTCTGAGCTGTATTTGATGTATTTCCCTGAAGTTACGGAGTGCATATTACGGCTGTGGGTAACAAATATAACAAATCGGATGAACAGTATATATGGGAGCTATAGCTATATCTGAACCGATCTTCACCAAATTTGACATACTAGCTTCTAGACTCAATTCGGTCGTAAGTGCCAAATTTCATCCCATTTGGACAAATATTAGAGGTTTGGTGCACAATAAAAGGTAAATCGGACGAAGTTATATATGGGAGCTATATCGAAATCTGAACCGATCTCGATAAAATTTAGCAAATGTAATTCTGAGCTGCATTTTATATATTTCCCCAAATATTGTTATTACAGAGTGCATATTACGGCTGCGGAGGACAAAAATAACAAATAGGATGAACAATATATATGGGAGCTATAGCTATATCTGAACCGATTTCGATCAAATTTGGCATAATTATTTTCAGGCCTAATTTGGTTGTATGTGCAAAATTCCATGCTATTCGGGCTGATATTACACGTTTGGTGCACAATAAAAGGCAAATCGGACGAAGATATAAATGTTGACCGATTATCTCCAATTTCAATAGGGTTCGTCCTTGGGCAAAACAAATGATTTGTGCAAAATTTCATCTGGATCGGGTAATAAATGCGAACTGTACTTTGTTTACAAAAATACATGGACAGACGAACACAGACAGACGGACGGACATGCATAAATCGACTCAGCATGTGATTCAATGCAGATCATCAAAAGGAACTATGGGTCTATCTCGTTTCCTTTTGCCTGTTACAAACAAATGCACAAAGACATAATACCCTGACCACCTTGTGGTATAGGGTATAAAAACTTAGTTTAAATGGGATTGTAACAAGTCAAAATATTCGTCCTGGAAGACGTTAAAAGTCTTAATCTTACCTAAGCACCAGAAATTTATACATAAGAAAAACACATTTTAGGGTTAAAACCGCACATTTTGTGAGTTCGAGCAAAAGTCTCCAATAAAGCATAATTTTAAATTGGATGACGTCAAAGACAAAAATATTCTTCTTCTACCCAAAGAAAAGAGATCTCTATTTCCGGTGAATTAAAAAAAATATCCGCATCAATGTGCCCAAAAAACCAAAAAAAAAAATAATCCGTATTTATACTCTCAGCCATATGGCTTCAAATGGTATACAGGGAGAGATGAAAAAACTGCAACCAACTTCAGACTGCTGTCATTTCTAAGCCACTCGTCCGACAGCTATTAAAATTATTCCAATGACAGCTCATTATATTGTTTACAAGGGTACAAAAGCATTTTGGTGAGAATTTTCCAGAAAAAAAGTTATTCGCGATGGAATTCAAGCGGGACAGTGTGATTTCTTTATATTTGGCTGAAAAACGTTAGATCACTCCAGCATTTAAATGTAAATAAATCTTTTGAGTCTCGTGCCATCGCTCGTTACCGTGATAGCGTAGCCTGACGTCAAAGAAGTGGACGGAAGAACATAGCAACATCAGTTGAAATGGTTCGAAAAGTAACGAAGGGACTTGATTGAAACCCGAGTCGCAGTGGCCGTAAAAATGGCTCGTGAACTGAACATATCGCAATATCCCATTCGGCAAATATTGAAAAATGAGCTCGGGGTAAAGCCATTGAAATTCCAAAAAGTGCAAGAACTTCCACCGCAACAGGAAGAAAATAGAATCAAAAGAGCTAAAGAGTTGCCTCGCTTGGCCGAAAGTGGTGAACTGCTGAATTAGGTTTTATCCGATGAGGAAACATTCGTTGCCCAGCAGTTTGTAAACAAACAAAACAATCGTGTTTACTTGCCAAAGTGGTCAACTGAAAATGTGCACCTTTGGTTGGCCACCAGAACTCAAGCGCCGCCGGCCATGATGATGGTGTGGGCCGCCATAACAGCCAAAGGTCGCTCTCTGCTCGTATTAATCGACCGTGGCATCAAAATAAATGATGAAAACTATCGCGAAAAAATTCTGGAGGGTGTATTATAGCCTTGGACACGCATACATTTTGTCCGCAGACCTTGGACATTTCAACTCAGCACGTGCCACCCAAGAATGTTTGCAAATTGAGGTTCCTCGCTTCATTTCCAGCGCACAATGGCCACCAAAATCTCCGGATACCAATCCGTTGGACTATTGTGTCTGGAGTATTTTGGAAAGCAAAGTTGCCACCAAAAAATACCAAAGTGTCGATCACCTCAAGCAAACGCTTCGGCCAGAACTGGGCCAAAATACCCTAGAGCAACATTCGGACAGCGTGTGACGGTTTCATTGGCTGTTTGAAGGCAATAATTCGTGCCGAGGCTGACCAATTCGAACAAATCTAAACTTAGATTTAATGCTATTTCCGACCTTTTTTGTTTCTTTTAATAAATATAAAAAAAAGAAATGTAAAAATTATGGCATTTGACTTTGTTGCAATTCTTTTTTATCTCACCCTGTATATTCTTTGTTGGGTCTAAAATTTATTTTTCGAGGTCTTACAAACGGAATGACAAACTTAATATACCCTCCATACTGTGGTAAAGGGTATTATAACATGATAGGGTAATATAAATATCTGAGCAAAATTTCAAAGCGACAGAATGCTTCCCTGAATTAATCTCGGTTTTTTAGAATCTCACCCCACTGCCCGACGTTGTCCCAACTGATGGAATATCAAAATAACAATGTATATATTATTTATCGTAACATTAATACTTTTTGCTACCTTTTGCTATTATCGAACCCTTTCAGATATCTTCTGTAAGGCCGTGTGCCGCTATAAGACACCTATGGAGACATTAGCCTTTTTCTACCCTCTGGAGGGTATATTAACTTTGTAATTCCGTTTGTAACACCTCAAAATATTCATGTCAGACACAACAAAATATATATATTCTTGATCAGCGTAAAATTCTAAGTCGATAGGCCATGTAGGTCCACGTTTTCACATAGCCCCCATATAACGGTACCTCCCGATATTTGGTATATTGGTGATTTTAGCGACATTATTCACCGGAATTGTTTAAAATTTGGTATTTGAAGTTCGAAATGGATGCTACAGCCTAAGACAGAAAATTGTCTGTGCAGGTCCACGTCTTCGTATAGCCCCCATATAACGGTACCCCTCGATATTCAGTATTTTGATGATTTTAGCGACATTATTTACCGCAATTGTTTCAAATTTGATATTTGAAGTTCGTAATGGATACTATAGCCTATGACAGAAAATTTTCCGTGCAGGTCTACGTCTTCCTATAGCCCCCATATAATTCTACCGACCGATATTCGGTATTTTGGTGATTATAGTGACATTATTCACTGGAATTGTTTCAAATTTTGTATTTGAAGTTCGTAATGGATATTACAGCATAAGACAAAAAATGGGCCATGTAGGTCCACGTCTTTGTATAGCTCCCGTATAACGGTACCTCCGATATTCGGTATTTTGATGATTTTAGCGACATTATTTACCAGAATTGTTTCAAATTTGGTATTCGAAGTTCGTAATGAATACTACAGCATAAGACAGAAAATTGTCTGTGCAGGTCCACGTCTTCATATAACCCCCATATAACGGTACCTCCCAAAATTCGGTATTTTGACTATTTTAGCGTCATTATTCACCGGAGTGGTTTATAATTACATATTTAAAATTCGTAATGGGAACTACAGTCTGTGACAGAAAATTGTGTATGCAGGTCCAAGTCTTCGTATAGGCCCCATATATCAGTACCTTCCTATATTCGGTATTTTGACGATTTTAGGTACAATCCTCATCGAAATTGTTTGAGATGTCGTATTTGAAGTTCGTAATGGATGCTACAGCCTGTAACAGAAAATTGTATATGCAGGTCCAGGTCTTCGTATAGCTCCGATATAAGGGTACCTCCCTATATACGATATTTTGATGCTTTCAGCTACATTATTCACCGTTTATTTCAAGTTTTCGAATTTGAATATGGTAATGGCTTATGACTAACAAAGCCTATGTAGGTCCACGTCGTGTAGACAACCCCACCCCACCCCCCCCCCCCCCCTTATAAAGGCTATATTCGGCCCGGCCGAACTTACAACATTTTTACTTGTTTTTTTTTTTAATCCCTAATTTTTTTTAATTCTTAATTCCTTTACAGCCTTTGGTACCATGTTGGAACTGATCTCCAGCAACATGGGTAGCGTTTTGCTAACTGTTATGGTATCTGTGATATTAATTGGCGTTTGCGTGTACATTCTCTATCGTGAGACCAGTAAGCCGGCCGCCCATATGTCGGCCCCCACAATAACGCCGCCAGCATCGGCAGTCTTGCCGCGGCATCAACATTTGAAGGAACTGCATCACCATCATCGTCACCAGCAGCACACACTGCCGCGTACATTAACAAGTAAACATGAGGATCTAATGGCCTAGAATGGAGGTGAAAAAATAATAAGGGAGGCCTTTCACACCATCTACCGCCACAAATAAAAAAGAACGTGGATCGTAAAGGCTCCCGCTCCCAAAAAAAAAAAAAAACCACCCGCAATAAATCCCCCTTTTTAAAAAAAAATAATACCCTCCATCATCTGCCCTCCTCCACACCAGATAAAGGTTAAAGAACTATGCTTTATTGTCTTGCTGGAATATGTTGAAGTGGCTATTTTTTTGTGGCAACTTTTCGTGGGTTGCCATTTGGTGACAGCAAAAAGGCAATCAAAGACTTCAATGCTCTTCTATACTCTTGGCAAAGAGAGAGAGAGAGAGAGAGAGCAAAAACCAACGTATTTCTTATCAAGTCGACAGAGCATAGTTTTGCAAACAACGTGATGCTTTGTAACATTTCTTTTTTACATATTTACATATACATACACACAGTTTTATACAAATACTGGTGTATTACATACATACATATATACTCTTAGAATAGCAGAGATTAATTAAAAGAAAAAAAAGAAAATAAAATAAAACCTTAGCATGTCACTGAAGTAACTTCATTTGACAATCCCTCTCCACCTCTGGGGCATGCAAAGAATGAAACTCCCCCTTTTATGTCGTCTACCTTTTTTGTAAGTTCGTATTTAATTTAATTAATTAATTAGTTGTAATCGATAAGCACTTCTCTTGAATGATATTTTATTATAAGACTATATCTTAGCTGTAGGAACACATACACATACATACACCTTTTTTTACGTATTTAATGTATAATATACAGATATATATTTTGAGAGTAATTTTAAATAAAAAAAATTAAATGAAAAATTAATTATTCAAAAATTATTTTGAATTTGCATTGATGCAACAACAAGGACAAGAAGGGTAATGTAAAGATATTGAACTTTTTGCACAGTGGGGTAAGTTACATAAATCTTTATTTATAACAGAGTAATGAAATAACTGATTGAGAATCAACGTCCAGGCGAAAAGGCTGAAGTTGGAATAGAACAAGTTAGAAAATATCAGTCGGTTTTGCCGACAGATGTATACCCTCAGCCAATGTTCAAGTATGACACCCTCAGCCATATGGCTACAGAGGGTATATATCATTTGATATGGCCAAAACGTGCCTAGTCGAAATAACGGTTTTAGACCCTAGGTCTCTTTGGACCAAATCCGTTTCAGAACATTTGGAGTCGATCTAGCGATGTCCGTCCGTCCGCACGATAACTCTCGAAGGGAGTATCCGATTTGATCCAAATTGGCTACAACGTAATATTTTTGTCAAACTTAGATCGAGTTCGGAGATAGGCAATATCGGTCCACTCCTTCTGGTACCTCCCCCACAAAAAGTCGAAATTTTCAAAAAATATATTTTTTGCACAGGAAGAGAAAGGATAATCCGAATTTGCTCCAACTTTGCAAATCCTAATATTTGCGTCAGTGCTAGTGCAGGTGTGGAAATGGACAATATCGGTCCACTCCATCAGGTACCTCCCCCACAAATGGTCAAAATTTTGAATAATTACAACTCTCATAAAATGTTATGTAAGAGTCCGATTATCTTCAAATTTCACACATCCCAATATTTATATTAACCCAAGGTCTGGTGTTAAGATGAACAAGATCGGCCCACTCCTTCTGGTACCTCCCCCACAAAAGGTCGAAATGTTCAAAAAATATATTCTTTGCACAGAAAGAGAAAGGATGATCCGAATTTGTTCCGACTTTGCGAATCCTAATATTTGCGTCAGTGCTAGGACAGGTGTGAAAATGGACAATATCGGTCCACTCCATCAAGTACCTCCCCCACAAAATATTGAAATTTTGAGTACCCAGAAGCTCATAAATCGCCAAATTAACATCCGATTCCATTTAGACTTGGCACATCTGTCGAAATATTTATATCATATTTTGGGTCCGATAGGAAATGGGCAATATTGGCCCATTCCTTCGGGATCAGCTCCATAGAGGTTCAAACATTTGAATAACCTTAACACTAGTCAAAATATATTTAGATAATCGAACGTAGGCTGAGGGTATATCTCTGGCGGCAATACCGACTGATACTTTTTAACTTGTTTAAATATATTTTGACTTCCATATTCAAATTGTTGACCCTCTATGGAGTAGGTTTGGAAGGAATGGGCCAAAATTGTTCATCCTTATTTATTTTTCAAGATCTTGAACCCTAGGTACCAGAAGGAATGGTCCGATCTCTACCATTTTTATAACAGATCTTGTGTTGATGGAAATATTGAGATGTACCAAGTCTGAATGGAATCGGATGTTAATTTCGCTTTTTATGAGCTTCATTGATGTTCAAAATCTTGAGCCTTTGTGGGGGAGGTACCAGAAGGACTGGGCCGATAAATCGCATCTACACAACAGATATTGTGTAAGTAGATTTAATGAGATCTTTGAAATATGAAGAGAACCGGATGCATATTTCGGATTTTATAATCGTTTTGGTTATTCAAAACTTTGACACTTTTGTGGGGGAGGTACCAGAAGAATGGTTCGACCGCTATCGTTTTTATAACAGAACCTCTGTTGATAGAAATATTATGATGTGGGAAATCTAAATGAAATCGGATGTTATTTTCTCGTTGTATGAGCTTCATGGATATTCAAAATGTTGACCCCTTTGTGGGGGAGGTACCAGAAGGAGTGAACCGATATTGTCCAACTTAACACAAGACCATGAGTTAATATAAATATTGGGATGTGTGGAATTTGAAGACAATCGGACTCTTACATTACATTTTATGAGAGTTGTAATTATTCAAAATTTTGACCATTTGTGGGGGAGGTACTTGATGGAGTGGACCGATACTGTCTATTTTCGCACCAGACCTAGCACTGATGCATATATTAGGATTTGCAAAGTTGGAGCAAAATCGGATTATCCTTTCTCTTTCTGTGCAGAAAATATAGTTGTTTTGAAAATTTCGACCATTTTGTGGGGGAAGTACCAGAAGGAGTGGACCGATATATTCCATCTTAACACCAAATCTTGGGTTAACATAAATATTGGGATGTGTGAAATTTGAAGACAATCGGACTCTTACATCACATTTTATGAGAGTTGTAACTATTCAAAATTTTGACCATTTGTGGGGGAGGTACTTGATGTAGTGGACCGATATTGTCCATTTTCACATCTGACCTAGTACTGACGCAAATATTAAGATTTGCAAAGTTGGAGCAAAATCGGATTATCGTTTCTCTTTCTGTGCAAAAAATATATTTATTTCGAAAATTTCGACCATTTGGGGGGGAGGTACCAGAAGAAGTGGACCGATGTATTCTATCTTAACACCAGACATTGGGTTAATATAAATGTTTTACATCACATTTTATGAGAGTTGTAGTTATTCATGGAGTGGGCCGATACTGTCCATTTTCGCACCAGACCTAGCACTGACGCATATATTAGGATTTGCAAAGTTGGAGCAAAATCGGATAATCCTTTCTCTGTGGGAGAATTACCAGAAGGAGTGGACGGATAGTGCCCATCTCCGAACTCGATCTAAGTTTAATAATAATATTGCAATGTACCAACTTTGTATCAAATCGGATACTCCCTTCGAGAGTTATCGTGCGCACCAGGCTGCCAGACAGACAGACGGAGATCGACTCCAAATGTCCTGAAGCGGATTTGGTTCAAAGAAACCTAGGATCTAAAACTGATATTTCGAATAGGCACGTTTTGGCCGTATCAAATGATATATACCCTCTGTAGCCATATGGCTATAATGAAATTTTGGGTGAGAGAAACTCTTGGTCCAAAGGTGTCAGATAAAATAGGGGTTTCGGAAATTCGTTCTAGAACGGTACGAAATGTACTGAATATAGTGCACCATTTCGTAAAATCAACATCCAGTCAAAACGGCTGAAGTTAGAATCTAATGAAATTTTAGGTGAGGGACACTCTTGGTCCAAAGGTGTCAGATAAGACTGGGTTTTCGGAAATTCGTACTGAGTCCTGTCGTGCTGAGTCCTGTTGGAATGCCCAAGGTCTGCGGCCAAAATGTTTGTGTGCCCAAAGCTTTAATACACCCTTCGGAATAGTTTCGCGATAATATTCGGCATTTATTCTGATGCCACGGTCGATTAATACGAGCGGAGAGCAACCATCGGCTGTTATGTCGGCCCACACCATCACCATGGACGGCGCTTGAGTTCTGGTGGCCAACCGAAGGTGCACATTTTCAGCTGACCTCTTTGGCAAGTAAACACGATCATTTTGTTTGTTTACAACAAACTTTTAAACAATATAATGTTTATAATGTTTTAATATACTGTCACTGGAATAATTTTAACAGCTGTCGGTCGCAGTTTTTTCATCTCGCCCTGTATATAAAAACCTAAAAGTCTGAAAATTTAGTTTAAAAAATGGTCAAACTGAACAAATTGGGCATTTTGAGTACAAAAAGCCCTAACAAGAACTGTTGGAGCTAATTTAAAATTTTAAGGAGGGGTTTAGAAGTAGGAGGAAGTGGTAGACTTATGTTGGTGTCTAAAAAAACTGCAAAAACCAGTTTCTATCTCATTAATGAACAAAAATTCATTAACCATACCTCTAAAAAATGGCGCCCAATGTGGGTCAGTTTATGTCATGGACATGTCAAACATCAACTTTTTCCATGCAAATACCAGCTTCTTTCCTTCAAATCCCATTGATAAAAATTTACTAACCACAACCCGAATGAATGGCTCCCAACGACATATGTGTCTGGCCAATATGTGCCTTATCGAAATAACCGGTTTTAGACCCTAGGTCTCTTTGGACCAAACCCGTTTTAGGACAATTGGAGTCGATCTAGCCATGTCTGTCCGTCAGTATGTCTGGCTAGCTGTTGCGCACGATAACTCTGGAAAGGGGTATCCAATTTAATCCAAACTTGGCACTCTTGGAGATCAGCAATATCGGTCCACTCCTTCTGATATCTCTCCCACAAAAGGTCGAACTTTTCAAAGAAAATATTTTATGCACTGAAAGAGGTTTTTGCTTTAACTTCATAAGTCCCAATAACTGCATCAGTGCTAGAAAATGAACAATGTCGGTCCACTCCATCAGTATCTCGCCCTCAAAGGCTCAAAATTTTGAAAAATTGTAACTCTTATTCAATGTGATTTAAAAGTCCGATTGCCTTCAAATTAAACACATCACTCCTTCTCGTACCTCTCACACAAGTGGTCAAAAATTTGAATACCCATATAGTTCATCAAATGCGAAATAAACATCTGATTCCATTGGGACTTGGTACATCTCAAAATTTCCATAAGATAAAGATAGTCGACTATATCTGGTAGATCACGCATATTTTAAGATTCTCTAAAAATGTTCATATATCTCATATAAAGTGAAGGAAGTAACAAATATAGTCCCCACCTGGCACTTCGCATTATTTATATTATATATATATACATATTTGTGGACAATATTGGCCTATTCCTTCGGAGCCTACTCCACAAAGGGTTAACAATTTAAATAATCATAACAAAAGTCAAAATATATTTAAATAATCAAATATTGCCTGAGGGTATACATCTGTCGGCAAAACCGACTAAAGTATTAGCTTAACTTGTTTTTAGCTCTACTCTTATAATCTACTCGATTTTCCTGTTATTAATGAAATCATTGAATTTTTTCGCACTGTGTAATTAATTATTTAATGCTTAGCTGTGCTTGCTCATGGTTCTTATCCTGTTTTTATTTTATCGGAGGCAGTTCTCAGGCCCTTTTCGGGGAATAAATTAAAGATTATGCACGCGGAAAGCTCAAGTAAGTTCCCATAGTTAATGGGAGACCTAAACCCCCAG